GATGGGCGACTGAACAGAGAAATTGAAACATGAGTACAAAAAGCCAATAATGTTAGCTACCAGCTTTTCTCCACCACTGAAACATCCTAACATCCCCTTGACAACGAAACTCAAAATGATCAACACCATATTAATCCCAACATTCACCTATCAATGCCAAACATGGACCACGATCAAGACATTAGAGCAAAGAATTACAACATGTGAAATGTGATGTCTTAGAAAATAAGTAAACAAGACCAAGCAAGACAAAATTAGAAACTCAGTAATCAGAGAAATGGTGGGCACAAATAATGTCATGCACCACATCCAACACCAAAGAATCAAATGGTTCGGACATCTCATGCGATTACCAACACACCATCCAGCACAACGTGCCTACAAAAAAATATTCTACGGCAACAGGGCTAGAGGGCGACCGAGAAAGACCTGGATAGATGGAGTCAGGGAAACACTAACAACTCACGGCATCCCCCTGACCCAAGCTCTCCGGCTGGTGGCAGAGAGACGTCTCATTCTTCCCACGACACCCAAAAGGGTATAAGCGGCGGATAAAAGTAAAAGTAAAGTTAGCTTTGTAGGTTTGTCACTCTCTTGTGAACTGTTATTTCCAGTGTGCCTTGATAGTCGAAGCAGACTTTGTGCTGTTGAGGCTAGAGAGGTGAGCAGAGTAAGCCTGATTCCCCGTTTGGACTTCTCTGTTGCCACAGACAAACTAAAGCACCTTGTAAAGTGGACCTCACCACTGACAACTCTGGTGCCGACGTTGACGATGAACCTGAAGTTGTTGTTGCTGATGGTAGCGACAATAGGATAGGCATTGAAAGGGATGGTGATGAAGAGAAGGGAGGTGATGAGGATGATGATGTATGCACTTTGGTTTTTACAATTTACAGCTAGTGTAGATCTAGCCATTTGTATTTTGAACGTTCCTGATGAAGCCCGTTGAGGGCGAAACGTTGAAAATATCATTAAATATTTTGGAAATACTACCAGGTCTTAAACGTTTTACAATGCTGTACACTATGATGATGATGATAATGATGATGATGAGGCAGCTACACAACAGATGAAATGTGTGAGAATCAGTAGCGACGTTGAAAGGGATGGTGGCGGTGACGAAGAAAAGGGAGGTGATGAAGGTGGTGATGATGATGATGATGATGATGATAATGATGATGACGTAGAGGATGATGATGAGGCAGCTACACAACAGAAGAATGAAATGAGAGGAAGGTTGATGATTCTGCTTTAGGTGCAGATGCTGGTCACCCAGACATTGATGCTGGCGATTCTGTTGCCGACAGTAAAGCTGGTGAATGTGTTTCGTCAAACAACAACGCTTCGAGTTCTTGTGTCGTCACTGTAGACAACATCGACATCTTCAGTCTAGAAAATGAAGACTTCAACAGCACCGCTGAAGTTCTGCGCATCCTGCAAGAAGGTTCCAATGGCCTTTCTCGCATTCCACGAGGACCTAAGGATAACATAGCAGTGATTCTATGCAACTCATCGAATGTGGAGCGACGCAAGAAGGACAGCCGCAACCGATACGACAATGACTGTGGTGTGTGGGCAAATACAAGAAACAACAAGTGTCACTTCTTTGTATGTATGTAGTATAGGGTTTTACGGCGCTCGCAACTGCTAAGGTCATATGAGCGCGGTCACACTTCTTTGAACTGCCAAATGGCCTACTGTCAAAAGGGTTCTTGCATGAAGGCATGCTATGTAGGGAGGTGAGGATTTATGGCGGTTCTCTGACAAAAGTACCTTACGATCCACAACCAGGACCCGAAGATGATGTTACCTGTTTTTGTAAACTTTTTAAAATGAATTGACAGGTACGGTATTTGAAATGTCATGAATTTTAAAATGTCTCATTTGATTACATGCCATTATGTTTTCCTTACGGTTTATTCAACATTATCAGAATACAACTGATACCAGACAGTTAAAAAATAAACTTGACTCCACATCTTCAGTAAAATTATGTGCACATGTGAATTGTTTAGTTGGCCTTTAGTGTTTGATTTTTATGTGTTTGATTTCATAACCTACACGCCCATGTGGAGACTCTTCAAATAGTGAGAAGCCCCATCGTCTACTTCTTTACTTTCCCTCTGTTGTTTCTTTTTACTTGTTACTTTTTCTAAGCACTAAATGACCATTATTGTGTCGATGTGCTTCTCTTTACTCAAAAGAAAAATAAAGAAAAAAAACAAAATAATACTAGATCTACTAACAGAAAATAGACGTCGATAATAAACATCACTTTTCGGGGCATTCCCCTAACAGAAAATATACGTCGAAAGTAAATCACTCTTCGGGACAGTTTGGGGTAGTCTGGGGCAGGGCAGGGCAGAAAGTTTTTGTTTTGTTTGTTTTTTTCTTTGGTAAGTGTTTTACAGTGCTTGCAATGGCATAAGGTCATATGAGCACGCGGGACACACCTAATATTTTCAGTTGGTAGGATATTTTGAATTTAGCACGGGCGGCGGCCGAAGCCTACTCTTATAAATTTTAGACCACCAAGGGATCTTCAACGTGCGCAACTTGCACCCGGGCCCTCCGAGATTTTTTGCCTTTGTTCGAGAAGGCTAGGTGTAGATCTTTCCTACCAGAAGATCACGGGTGTGGCAGAAAGACAGCAGTAAGAAGGAGCCAAGGAGTAGAAGTAGAAAGGCTGCTGAAAGGGGAGCCCAGAGGGGGCAAAGGAGGTGAGGGGGTGGGGGAAGAAAGAGAAGACGAAAGCAGACGACAAAACATTGCTAGAGAGCAGGAAAGGAGGTGAAAGGAGACAATTTTAGTGGAGAAAATTTATCGGTCGCTACCCGGATTCGAACCCGGGACATTTGAATGAGAGGCCAACACCTTAGCCTCTAGGCCACAAGGGCCCCTGGGCACAAAGTGTCCCAACCCGATCTATAGTACACACAATACAGGATAGTTAGATGTCTAGAGAACGTCAAATGTATGCCATTGGCCGATATTTATAGCAACGACCATCTTGTTTGACCTATTTTTTAACTCTTTAACCATGTCTGGACGGTGACAGCGTCCGATAGTCGAGGTCCGTAACCATGGCGGGACGGTACCACCATCCGATGTTAAGTTATTATTGTATTATGGTATGGGCCAAATATAAATATGTACCAGCTATCAAGAAAAAACCTTTAGCTTGACCCGGAAGTCAAAGATATAAATTCTACGTCTGGGTAGTGCTATAATTGATCAGTTTGACACGAAACATGTGTTTTTAAAAACGTAATATGTCGGGTCGCATTTCCACAAACACGAGAGAATTACGCGGGAACGTGATTTTAAATTGCATGGTTAAAGAGTTAACATACATAATATAATGAGCATCATACACTTTAAGCTTTCTTTTTTCCTCCACATTTTTTTCCTTCAGATCAGACAGTGAGATAGTAGGTCTGGAACTTCTTTCATATCTTTTGTCAGAGCGAAGAACACTATTTTAAGACACAAACAAGATGGCTGTTACTATAATATCAGCCAATGGCGTACATTTGACGTTCTCTAATTATCCGCTTATAGCACATACAACTTTCTAAAAAATAGTGTTACAAAATAAATGAATAACACCCTCTCATGCGCTTTTTCGGTAGTTCCCACCACGCTTATTTGGCTCTAGATCAACTATAGTAGGCTATGTTTGATGCGCGTCGAGCTAGAGATTATCAAACCTAACGGCAAAGGGGGGGTTTAAATTCTCACCGGAGATTTTACCGGAAATGATCCTAGAGGGATCAGGGCTGAGGTTAGCGGGCATGACCCTTTGGGGGGGGTGTGTAAGGGCTGATGATGCTCCACAGCATCGTAATATGTTCGTCACTGTTCGTGTCCGAAAGTCACAGTTGTCACTTAGGTGCCAAATCCCAGAAATGTGGCTCTTTTGGATCGTGTCTGGCCCGGAGAATTTCATTTGGCTCTCTTTCTCTTTTTTGGCTCCAAACTCTAAATGTTCAAGAAGAAAGGCAAGGGAAAGAAGAGGCAAGAAAAAAAGAAAAAGAAGGAATAAGAAAAAAAAGTGAAAGTGAAGAAAAGAGCTTGTATTGCTTAATTATTAAACTAGATCTAGTTAACACGATTTAACGCCCTCACCCATTTGGTCTGAATAATTTACAACCCTTCTACCTTCGTGCAAGAGCCTTTATTGTCTCGTGCTTGTGTCTCGTTACGTGTGTACATGCTCTCTGTTCCTTGAACTTTAATTTATTGAGTGCAGGCAGAGAGTGAGAGGCCTGCCATCGCTAAGTGTGTAAACAACTAATGGTCCGGCCGGCGGTCAGTCCCACATCCCGCTCGGTAGCACCAGTAGTGAGCCTTTTTTTTTACTGGAGAGGCAAAAAATATTTTTACATTAAATTATTGTTCGTTCCCAACCACGTGCGGTAAGCCACCAAGGGCCTAGTTGATTTTATCGGCCTGCGAGATGTCAGGGGGGAGTCCTCGCCTCATGCCAACACCGGGGTGGAAGCTATTCTCGCCAGGGGAGGGGGGGTGCGAATAGTGAGTCATGAGTTATTCTCACCCGGGGTGAGGATAGCGAGACATGGTGGCCAACTGCAAAACAAAAAATTATGGTAAAATTCAGGGGGGGAGGGGGGCAGGCCCCCTGAAACCCCCCTCCATATTTTTATTAGGTCAGTGGGGGGAGGGCTGAAACCTCCCTACTCTTGGGGCCAAATCCAGCGAATAAAATAATAATTGGGGGGTGGGAACTACCAAAAAAGCGCCCCTCTCATACGTTGAGGAGTCATTACAAGTGGTTACGCCTCCAATAACCCTTCTAAACCCTGTTTCTGTAGTTGTACTGTTAACGAACTATCTAGGTTTTGCTTGTAAATTGCTAAGAAACACATAGATCTAGATCTAGATCTAGATAATCTAGATCTAGATCTAGATCTAGATAGATCTAGAATCTAGATCTTGAGACCTCTAATTTTTTTTTTTTTTTAAACTTCCGTCCTTACCATCACATGAGCATTTTGCAAGTCAATGGGCTTTGGCGAAATCAGTGGCGACAACAGATAAAGAACTATTATGAAAACTATAAAAATTGCTAGGGCAATCCAAAACCACATGTTCTTTGCTTTTATTTTAACACAATTTCGTGACAACGGGTAAAGGTTCCGAATAAAGGCCTAGAACCTAGGGATCTAGCAGATCTAAATCTAGATTGCTAAGCCAGCAGAGCAAGATTATAGCAGCAAATATTTTGGAAGGGGAAGTAAGTCTCACTAGCAGCCAGTAGGCCTAGGATAGTACATAACAAGATGGGCCCCTCAGCCAAAAAAGTGTCCGCAGGAAGTATGCTCTTTGCTTCAGATGGCGCTGCAGTCTGTTTTGAAGCTCTCTTTCGTTTTTCCAGTAAGAAGAATAGGAATAGCACCTCCTTGCGTGCGCAGATCGACTGCTGTTCATCAGCAGTTCGGGTACGTTCAGTGCGGAGTTTTAGTTTTTTTTAAATTTTAATGACCACTCGCCTTTCATTCTAGAGTCAAATTAAACAAGGAAAACCATCACCCTTTCCTCCGGAAGAGGTTTTTTGTCAGCGTAACCATTTTAAAAAAGCGTTCTTCCGAAATTTATCCCAAAACTTGCTAGTTTCATTTTGATTTTTTAAAACTCAAGTAGGGTAACTCTGTTCGCAAAGAGTGCGCTTTTGTGAAGAGGGCGCCACCAAATTTTGAGGACACTTTTTTAATTGGCTCAAAGAGAGAAGTGTAGAAGTACTAAGTGTAGAATTCTGTGCAGCCACTTGACCTCATGAAACTGCCGCGGTCTGGCACATCGACTCTCAACACGTGAAAAATGCACGAATCGCGACACATCATGTTGCAAAATCATTAGTAGCCATTTATCCGCCAAATAAACAACAATAGACGTCATTAAGAAAGCACCCTTTTAATATGTGATAAAAAGTGCAAACACACCTGAAAACTAAAAAAGCGAGTCAAAATTGGTACGACGGCTAAATTTCGATCTCTGGTTCGAAATTGTCACGTCTTCGCAATGGACCAGGAAAGAAAGAAACGGAACAGCGCAAGGGACATCACTGCAGTTTTAAATTTACAAAATTAAAAACAGTAGGTGAGAATTTGCCGAAACTAGACCAACTGCTGCGCTGGGGGCACTGCCGCGGTCTGGCACATCGACTCTAGATATCTAGATTTAGATTCTAGATCTAGATATCTAGATCTAGATTCTAGGTCTAGATTTCTAGATTTAGGTCTACAGTACAGTGGTTCGAACTTCGAACATTCATCAGTCATCAGATTAGATAAGGATTTCAGTGCGGTGAGTGAATCAAGGTAGATCTAGAATCTAGATCTATATTCAGATTCTTTCTAGATTCTAGGCCTAGATTCTAGATCTAGATCTAGAATCTAGATTCTAGTCTGAGGCTAAATGTATGTAGAATGTAGAATTCTAGGCTAATGATTATCACTAGATCTATCTAAATCTAGATTAGATTCCTTAGGCCTATTCTATATTTTGGAAGAGGCTAGCCAGTACGGCTAGACTGGTTGGCTAGCCGTACTTAATAAAGCTGGGCTAGCCGTACTTATTCTTAATATGATGGCTAGACTGACCTTTAAAAAAAAATAGACGTACTGAATTGTACATAGATCTAGATCTAGATCTAGATCTAGATCTATAAATTTTTAGTTTGCAGTACCTGAAGTATTTGTATTTGAGACGAAACCAGGTGCCTTAATACTTAATGACAGTGCATGTATTTTATTTTTAAACTTCCTGTTTTCTAATGAATGTTAATAGGGCCTGCCTAAGATAAGTACGGCTAGACTGGCAGTCTAGCCGTACTTAACTAGACTTCTTGGCTAGCCGTACTTACTTAAGTACGGGTAGACAGCCAGGCTAGCCGTACTTAAGGACAGCTAGACTGTCAGGCTAACTGTACTTAATATTTATGGCTGAATTGTAAATGAAATTTAAGGATGGCTAGCCACTTCGTTTTAGATCTAGATTTTTTAGTCTGTGTGTTCTTGTTTACACACACATAAATCTATATAAATATTCTTCTAGATTCTTTTAAAAAATGAATACCTGATTATTACCTATACTATTCAGTGAATAATTCACCAGGCGGTTCTATTTTTGTGGGGTAATCTCTTTGTCTATTGACTTGACTAGCCGAGAAAGATCAGCGCTCTTTGGAAATTGCCTTCTCATTCCATTGGCAGCCATTTGGAAACTGATACTGATAATAATTTGCCATGTAAATGTGAAGATGGCAAGCCCCCCTGAAACCTCCCTCTAACAGACATGCCGTTGTAGAACGTTACGATGCATCTTCCTGATTTTCTGCTAATTTTAGTCATGTGATGTCATCATTTCCTGGGATACCCACTGACTATTTTAAGAAGGCCGTGGAGGTACCGCATGGAAAGATGTGTTTTCAGTATTTAAATAAAACATTTCGGAATGCCTAGATTAACTAGAATCTAGTGCTTGGACTTGATGGAAGATCGGTTAGATCTAGAATCTAGGTCGTTAATGCTCAGAACAGTAAGAACGCATGCTTGAAATTGAAACACGATAAACGCAAAGACAATAAACCGCACTAATATTGCCGTAAAGACGCCGGAGGATTCTTGCAACTTTTTCTATTTTCAAATGCAACTTTCTCTGAGGACAATTATGTGTATGTGTCTGTATTTGAGTGTGTACGTCTATGTGTTTGAGGGGTGGGGGCTGTGTGTGTCTGTGAGAGAGAGAGAGAGAAGGGGAGAGAGAGAGAGAGCGAGGGGGGGGGGAGAGAAGGGGAGGAGGAGAGAAATGGTCGATTTTTTAAAATTTTCATCCATGTGAAGAGTTCTAGATGTTATATGAAGCGGTTTTAACTAATAAACCTCTGTGGACAAGACTCCGGACAGGATGACCTCTTTGTTGACGTCACAATGACCCCTAACCTTACTCGAGAACCATGGGCATGGTGCCGTGCTGTCCAGTTGAAATCGCTATGCCTATAAATTGTCCAGTCAGTGTTTAAGTTTTGTTTATCTAGGCCTGTCAGATTTGACGTGAAATGCATAACACAGTGGCTGACCTGCATAGAATCTACCTGACAATTCGATAACAAAGTTTGCTTAAGTTTATATATATGGCATCAAATCAGGTTACATGCGACCCACTTTTCTTATAAAACTTTAATACGCTGATTCCGAAAATAAAATCAGTTTTTACCTGCGACAAATCTAAATTTCAAAGGGATTCTGTGCCCCATCTCCTGTCTCCCAATTGTGACTTTTAAGGCATACGGCTAAATACATTTCTAAAGTGTTGTTTTTTTTGGTGCCAGCGACTAAAAAAAAAGGCGTTCCGTCAGCGAACGTCTAAAAAAAGGCGTTCTTGTTAAAACGCCTTGTGTAAGGCAAAGCTGACAAAACGCCTTTTTTCGTGATTATTTGTTTATTTCTTAAAGAAAATAAACAACATTTATGTTGTACATAGGGGATAACATTCTGATTAGGGTGCGAGTTCAAACGTTGATGTACTGTGCAAAGTAGTTGAGATATTGTAAGAAAACCGAAAATAGTTGATTTCTCGAAACTGCTCTGGACAAAAAAAAGGCGTTTTGTCAGCTGACGACAGTATTGTACATGCTCCCAAAAACACAAAAATGCAGAAAAGGCCTCAAAATATTGGTTTACACATAAAAGCCAATAATGCAAAACAAAGTAAACAAGAGTGGAACTGGCATAATAATATGTTTCCTGAATATATGTTCAAAGTCATTTTCTGTGCGTTGGGAGTGTGATTTCTAATGCATGAATGATAGGCTCATTTAGATGTGATAATGAAGAAACTTGTGTCTACAGTCACAACAGAAAGAGTTCCATGGCGAGTGATCACTGGTCAAGGATTTCAGAGCTGTGTGCATTTTGTGAAAAATGTATCCCCATACCCTGGATCACATGTCGAGGGGATGGGCTTGTCCCTCTGTAATCCCCGCACACAGTAAACAGACACATATTTTTGAACACGAATAAGAAAAAATAAGTGGTCTCTTGTTACGGATCAAATTGAAGTCCTGTTTCAATTCGATTAATTGATAAAAGTGCGTATCGCAATGCGTTGGCCACCCCTGCCCTATAGGACTATGCTATTTAATAAATACATTTGTCAGACCTGGAATCTTTAATGCCCGCACACAGTAAACAAGCACACATTTTTGAACACGTATAAGAAAAAATAAGTGTTGTCTTGTTACGGATCAAATCGAAGTCCTGTTACAACTCAATTAATTGATAAAAGCGTGTATCGCAAGGCATCGGCTAACCCAGCACTATTACGCTATTTTATAAATACATTCGTCAGATCTGGAATCTTTAATCTTTAATTTTTAATTGCCACACACAGTAAACAAACACACATTTTTGAACACGTATAAGAAAAAATAAGTGTTGTCTTGTTACGGATCAAATCGAAGTCCTGTCACAATTCAATTAATTGATAAAAGCGTGTTTCGCAAGGCATCGGCTAACCCAGCACTATTACACTATTTTATAAATACATTCGTCAGATCTGGAATCTTTAATTCCCGCACACAGTAAACAAGCACACATTTTTGAACACGTATAAGAAAAAATAAGTGTTGTCTTGTTACGGATCAAATCGAAGTCCTGTCACAATTCAATTAATTGATAAAAGCGTGTTTCGCAAGGCATCGGCTAACCCAGCACTATTACACTATTTTATAAATACATTCGTCAGATCTGGAATCTTTAATTCCCGCACACAGTAAACAAGCACACATTTTTGAACACGTATAAGAAAAAATAAGTGTTGTCTTGTTACGGATCAAATCGAAGTCCTGTTACAACTCAATTAATTGATAAAAGCGTGTATCGCAAGGCATCGGCTAACCCAGCACTATTACGCTATTTTATAAATACATTCGTCAGATCTGGAATCTTTAATCTTTAATTTTTAATTGCCACACACAGTAAACAAACACATATTCATGAACACGTATAAAAAAATAAGTGGTCTCTTAATGTTACGGATCAAATTGAAGTCTAGTTACAATTCAATAATTGATAATAGCGCGCATTGCAATGCATTGGCTAACTCAGCATTATACACTATTTAATAATACATTCGTCAGATTTGGAATCTTAAATTATAATCATAATTATATGAGCCCGCGCGTGGGAAGTGAAAGTGAAAGGAATTGAAAATGCTTTCAAAAACAATTATGAAAGTAACATAATTAAAGTTGGACTACATGTGCTTATAAAGGCCCAAAAAGGTGTATGGATGCGGAAATAAATGTTTCGGATTAAAATAATACGCTATACTACTGTAGCATGCGGTCAAAAATTTGATGCGCAACTTATCAAATATCGCTAGGCTACTGAACTATCGAACACCTAGATCTAGATTCTCCTACTTTTACACAATGACTTAGATCTATATCAATTCGTCTTAACCGATGAGTATTTTTTTCAAACATTTGCACACATCTATAGGTTCTATATTATTGTAGAAATTTCTTTAAAGAAAATTCTTTAATAAATACAAGCCCAATATAAAAAAAAAATCCCAGTCAATGGTTTCTACAGATTTTTAAAAAGTTTATAGCTGGAGCTAAATCTCTTTTAAAAGCAAGTCCGTCCTTTTTTCTACTTCTGCTGGCGACATAAAGTTAATTATTGAATGCATGTTTTGAGAACATGAATTAGATCTAGTGAAAAATTATGTTCAGTGTAAAAAAAAATTCTTGTAACAAGTTTTGGTACTAAAAAATTACGTAGGCCATATGCGTATGCAAAATGTGTGTGGGAAGCTAGAAGTGCTGTGAACAATCCCATCCGTGTTACGATTTTTTTCACAGTTCTGTAGATCTTATATTTATAAACTCTCTGTCTGCTGTTTCTGTTGTTGCATCCAAAAACACAACAATTTAAAACCTTAATTCCAATCTCTAGTTGCACAGTGAATTCTGTAACTCAAAATTACAAACTGGACAGTAAATGTTCCACTTTTCACTCGTTTGTAAAAGCCGATATTGCTTTAAAAGCTATAGGGTTACTTCCGAAAACGATAAATCGTGCCCTCAAGACGCCATTGTTTTCGGTCTTCAATTCCTCACAGGTCACGTGGTACAGTTCCCGTTCTATAAGTGTAGAATTCTGTGTTTCATCGCTAACTGCTTGGGGGGTGTGTGTGCGCGTGTTTGTGTGTGTGTGTGTATACAACATCATATTGTTTGGGGAGGAGGAGAGGAGGTACAGAATGGTACAGACTAAATCTATGGAACGAGAATTGCTGTGATTGTTGATTGTTTAATTAAAGATAACAAAAATTATCACACAAAAAAGAATACAAAGAAAAATGTTGGGGTTGAGTAGGTGGGTGAGAAGGAAGAAAAGAAAACTGAAAATCGACAAACCAAAACGAGGAAAATTATTTAATGATTTTAAGCAACAAGGTGTTCACCAATGGAACTCATGTAGTTTGCTGTGCAGTCATTTCATATCACTTCGATGGTTATAGTGTCGTAGTTAATCTAGCTCGTTGTCCCTGGTCGACATCATATTAATTACGGAATTACCTGGCAAATAATGAATAATGGCATCACGTGCCATGAGAGTAAATTTCTTTGTCCAACTTAAGAAGTGAATGTATTGTGGCTACACAATGCAGTCTTGCTTTACAATTTCTTTACGACTTAATATTGCGATCTTTATGTCTTGCAGATTCAAACTGTCCTTGTTCTCTTCTTAATGATATCAAACAACAACTAGTTGTTTCCCCATCATCTGGGTCCTTGAAATACGACGACTCATACTGTGCTAAGAGAGTCACATTACCTCTCTCAAGCGGGAGCGTTTTTGATTTATTAGTCTTGTCAGATTGTTACATTTCTTACATGAAAGTTTGATTCTGACCTCAATTCTCTGACCAAATTGTTGACATCATAATATTATGGATCTCTAGTCGTGCTGGGCGAATTGTAAGTTAGGGAAAGTTAAAAAATAAGCTCGCTTCCAAAGATGTACCATCAAAGAAATCTCATGGAGACCAAACCTTGATTCCGAATTAAACATAGTAAACCAAACTGTTGAGAACTTGTGCTTGAACAGCACATCTGATTTGGACATTGGCGACAGTGATGTATAAAAACTATTTAATATTTTGGCCTGCTTAAGGCGTTCCAACCCATGAGATGAAAGAAAACGCAGCGCGCTAGCAGGATTAAAGTTGGGATATGGGAGGAAAATTGGATGCGGTACATGGGAAAGGAGAGGTGAGAGATGGGAAACAGAAGGTGGGATTCGGAAGATGGGACTATAGTCATATATGTGTACAATAATGACTATAGCACCTGGTCAGCCTGAAAACCGACGCAGATAGAAAATGACAGAAACAATCATTCTTAGTATAATAACAAACACCTCTCTCTCACCCCCCCCCCCTCTTTCTCTCTCTCTCTCTCTCTCTCTCTCTCTCTCTCTCTCTCTCTCTCCCCCTGCCCGCAGACAAAATTGCGCACGTTCAATCAACTCTATAGCGCCGGAGCGTTTGTTTCTTATGCTCGTATCACGGTCCGTCACACGCAAGCTACAGGTAGCGCCCAATTCTCGCGCGGACGCAAGATAGGGCCATTGAAACATCTTGGTATACGCGATCTTTGTTATCATATATGATGTTTAGTAACTTGTAGCCGGCCACACTGACCTGACATGCTCTCTTATTGACTAATGAATGCAACTCTTTAGTTTCCAGCTTGCTACGGTTCAGATCTTGTCAAGTTGCCTTGCTCAGCTGATGTAATTTTTGTTGATATATTAATGTTAACAACCGTTTGCCAATGATGTTGCCTTTAGTCTATATAATTTTTTTAGACGTTAAAGACTATCGGTGACTATATATCGGGTAGAGACCGAAAAATGTGTTCTCTAAAATTATCTCCTTTCACATCTTTTCCTGTTCTCTAGCAATGTTCTGTCGTCTACTTTCGTCTCCTCTTTCTGCACCCACCCCCTCACCTCCTTTGCCCCTTCCTCTGGGCTCATGACTCTTTCTGCAGCCTTTCTACTGCTACTCCTTGGCTCCTTCTTACTGCTGTCTTTCAGCCACACCCCTAATCTTCTGGAAAGATCTACACCTAGCCTTCTCGGACAAGGGCGAAAAATCTCAGAGAGCCTGTGTGCAAGTTGCACACATTAAAGATCCCTTGTGGGTGGTTGGTGGGTGCTCTGGTGTGGTTTGCTTCTTCTTTCCTATGAATCATCTATCGTCCTTTTCTTCCCTTCTTCTTTTTTATGTTTGTTACTCTCTTGTAACACCTTTAATCTTCTGGCGCTCATATGACCTTATGCAGTTGCGAGTGCCGTAAAACCTCTACTAAAAAAAAAAGAAGCCTTGGTCTAAAATCGATAAAAGTAGGTTTCGGCCACCACCCAGGCAAAATTCAAAATTTCCTACCAACTGAAAATGTTTAATATGTCCCGGGCACTCAAATGACCTTATGCAGTTGCGAGCTCCCTAAAACACAAAACACTTACCAAAAAAAAACAACCAAATAGCTTTAATAGCCCACCAATTTTACTAGTTCTTGATGAAAATTTGACACTGGCTTTTTTGTTGAATAATATGTTTTGCAGCAAATATTTAACTACTTCACTGTTACTGTACCTTTTAATATATATGCGAATCATTGCATGACTAATCCAGATCTGACCATAAATTGATAATTTGCATTAAAAGCACATGATATCTTATAAATCTCATTTGTTGAGGTACGTAAGTTTTCATGTTTTGTCGCTTCTTCTTTAAGTGCCAGGTCTGAAACAGATGCGATCATGGTTTTCCACCCATTTCAACTGTGGCTTGTTAAGCAACTAAATTTTAAAAAAATCTTAGTCAATAAATGTACACACAGCGGCAATAGAAATGTTCCACTTTGTTATGATTTCTAGCTTTCTGTACCCTTACTCACGTGAGTAAGTGAGCAAAATTTCACTCTTCGCTCACCATGTACTCAACGATGATTCCTCACTGATTTTTTGATGAACCAGAATTTAACCATGATCGCATGACCCACATATGAAAATTAAAATGTTTTGTGAGGAAAGTAAGGTCTCGTTGAAATTTTGAAATCCATGTAAATTGTGTTCTGATCAGCACACATTAGTTCAGAACTGAAAAACAAATATGTTCCTGCTGGCTTAAATTTTGTGGTATTAAATTGCTTGCCAAGACTAATCACCTGAGGAGAGCACTATAGAGCTAAATTGGAATGCTCGAAGCTGGACTATCGGCGCATAGAGTGGCAGGGATGCTTCATTCAATTGCCCTCATCCTACCATCAATTAATCTGAGAGACAGGTTCCAAGTCACTGAGGTTACACTTCACAGACGCGGACCAGGCGTCACTATGCCCAAGAAAACAGACAAATACTGTTCTGGCATCTTTGAAAATCACTTTCTCACAACAACCAGCTCGGCATGTCAATTTCAATTGGACACTGGAAGAGTTCGCCCCCGAAAGGACTCTTCTGACCCGAAACCTTCTCTGTCGAACAAGTCTCTCCGGATTGCGTCGTAGTTCGCTCCTTGTATGAAGCAAGAAAGCTCTCAAGTAGTACAAGAGATGAAGAGATAGAGGCTGCACATACTACGAGTCCTCGAAACACACTGGATACAGTCTAGACAGAAGCAGCTCAGCTCGGGGGCAGAAAGTCGGGCAGCTGCATAACAAAGAAAGTTTTGGATTGGAACCCACAGGGCAAGAGATCAAGGGGAAGACCTCGTGGAACCTGGAGAAGAATCACAGAAATCGATGTACAGAAAAGTAGGAAGACATGGAATAACATCAAGAGGCTAGCCCAGGATAGAGAAAGGTGGAAGGTGTTTGCCCGTGGCCTATAGCCTGGTGCAGGGTGAGAAAGGCAATGATGATGATGATGACTGGAAGAGTTATCCTCATTGACAGAGCAATGTGACAGTGTTTAAACACGTTCAGACTTCGATCATGATGGCCAACGACAATTACGCTTGAACTGGGCAGATCATCACATTCTGCAAACTCTATTCTACTTTGGAGATGTCAAGGACTAGCAGACTGCTGCATGATACAGTGGAACTCGGATTCAGCGAAAATTCGGATTCGACAAAAAGAGATGGATTTCCCCTTTTTTTGAATTCATTAAAATCAATTTTTAAAAATAACCCAGATTCAACTAACACATGATGTATATATAAATGAGCAAGCACGGATTTAATGAAGTAGCTGCAGGGCGAACAGTCCCCGCTGACATGGCTTTGCTCATTTTCCCCCCTTAATGCCTATTCTTTGAAACCATCTATGGCACCTGTATCATGAACCATTATTCGCTGAGCCTATTGTTTATATCTTATGCTACCAACCAGCAGCCTTCTTTCATACCATCACACGCGTTGTCGGCTGCTGATCAATATTACGTTGAAATTTAGTTTGGACATAGATCTATGTTATGAATTGCGCGCTGGTCTGTGAAATCGAACGTTGCCATATATGCAAGGCTTTAGGTAGAGTTCAGTGTATTTTCCTGGAATTTTCCAGCAAAGAAACGAAAATGCCCTTCATTTGAAGCCAAACTGCTTTTGATTGAAGTGGAAGTTGAAAAGGGGCAAAAAAGCAAGCATTTCAGGGTAGCATATCAATTGTTACATGCCTTTTATACGTCTTGTTACTTCCTTTTACATTACTTGCTCTGTAATTATCTACGCAGAAACCCCATGTTTGCCTCGAGCACTAAGATTCAACAAAATTGGAGGTCAGGCACCAAGACTTCGTTGAATCCGAGTTCTATTGTATGAGATGGGATGATAGCAGTGTGATGATGGGGGACTGATTATATTCAGCCACAGAACTCAGCTGCACATTTTCAACACCTCGGTCAACTCCAAGTACCAGAATATGCTCTGGAAGTATGTGGTTCCCTTCTTTCAAACTTTTAGAGAGGTTTATATGCACACATTCCAGCAAAACAAAGCTTGCCTATACATTACCTGTGTATGCATGCTGTATGCAGTATCACTACTGCAGCAAATTGTGAATGTTTTGCCATATCACCAATAGTGCACCTATGGGCTCATTTGGGCTGAAGAATGAGCACCAGAAAAGGCATCAACACTCTATAACATTTGGGAGAAGTACATGTATTGGTTCAAGAGTGAAATGAACTTCCAGTACCACAACAGTCAGTATGAACGTTGACTCGATAAATGCCCAGAAGATGCCGAGCCTGCATCACTACAAAGGGCAGTTCATACCCTCTACTGAGGTGATATTGAAATCAAGGGGCACTCGTGACATTGATAGACCCAGTAAAGCTATCGACATGTCCCATGTATATGCAGGGTTCACTACCCTCTCAACCCTGGGTGAAAGTTCAAAGACATAAAAAAAACATGAAGAGGTAGGGTGGCAATTTTCAAAAACCTGAAAGCAGGGTGACTACAGACCCGGCTTCTCAATTTTCCGGGGGG